AATTATTTACACATCTAGCTGCACTTCAGTAAATCACACATCCATACTTTTTGTTGAAAATGGAGACGGGAAGTATTTTGGGGACTTTTGGAACTCCCTGAAATGTTTGTTGCAAAACTTAACCTGAACTTGCCAAAATAAAGCTGGCTTCTGTCATTTTGTTCCCAATCAGGTGATCACAGTGCATCAGCCAGAGGGGGAGGCGATGGAGTCGGCCGACTCTGAGGAACAGTCGCAGCCGTCTGTGAGCCAGCAAGTGTTTGTGACTCTGGCAGGACAAGGGGAAGGCGATCCCCCAGCCGAGGTGGTGGAGGTCAACATGTACGATCTGCTCAACAACTCGGTTACATTCATCTGTGAAGCCAAACCATCAGATTTTTAGCCACTTTCTGTCCATCTCCAACTGGTTCCACAACCAAACTTGCCACTCTTGGAGTTATGGAGGTCGAGTCGTTTTTGTCGCAGCTTAGTGTGTTTTATTTGAAAAACTTGTTGTCAACAAGGCCAACTAAATGTAATAGCTTAACTTTGTACCGTCTTTTGTGGAGACCCTGATAGTCTACCTCATGAAAATTAATGCCCCCCACTAATTGACAGCGCTGCATCTTATCAACATTAAAAACAGCTACAAAAGTATTTGGATAACGACGACGGTGGTTTTATTGTTTTACCTTGACCATTATGGAGCTTAAATAAAGCATCCAAGATCTGCATTTGAATTGCAGACTTTTAGCTTTAACTTGAGTTGCATTTCTTATTGGGTCCGTTTTTTTCTTTTATATTTGGACAAAGTGACAGGGTATAAATGCCAGCAGCATTTTATACTTATATATAAACAGTGACGTTGTTGAGATCCCCAAACTGTAAAGGTCCAGGTCCCCCCCAGACCCAGCTTGGATCGCTCTTCAAACTGTAGCGGCAAGTCAGCAGTTGCCAAATGGCAACTCGATAAGCGGGCTTGTATCCATTTAATACGGAGTGTGTCGCACTCTTTGTGCTATTTATAATCTTCTGTATATTTCGAACATGGCAAAGTGGTAGATGTCATGGATAAATAAATGAGAAGAAGAAAACTCATGTCAGCAGTAGTTGGTTGACACGTTTGTTGCCTGCTGGTGCATGTGCACCAATTGGATTTAGACAGTGTGCCGCCTCTTCGAAGCTGGCGAGAAAAAGGTGAAGTGTACCGTTTTTGAGTTTGTATGAAAGTGGGCCCAAGCACTCTTTAGCCTTGAATTACCATATTGACCCGAATATAAGAAGGTGTTTTTTTTGCATTGAAATAAGACTGAAAAAGTGTGGGTCGTCTTATATTCGGGGTCTAGACATTATACCCATTCACGGCACTAGATGGCGCCAGATACCATTGAAGCGAATGCTGAACTTGACTCCCCAGGCCAAAGCGAACCCGTCACGAAGAATAAAAATAAAAATAGCGGTAGCACGAAGAAGAAAAATAAAAAA